CTTCACACACAGGGACAGGACATGGCAACGTAACATCACAGAGTATAGGAGAGTGGTCAGAGAACACAGGAGGCAAAGTCATTAGGTTCATGACAGGGAGACCAAAAGAGAGAACCAGGTCCAGGGTGTGACCCCTGGCATGAGTTGGGGACGATACCCATTGAGTTAGATTGAATGACTCTAGCAAATTAAAAAAACCTTTAGCAAGCACATTGTCAGGACAGCAGATATGGATGTTAAAGTCACCAAAAAATAGGACATAGTCATATTTTAGGATACAGTCAGCCACAAGATCACTGAAATGGTTAAGGAAGTTAGAGTCAGTCTTTGGAGGGCGATAAATCAGCACAACGAGCAGGCGGGGGGAGATGCACAGTTCAAATACGCACAGTTCAAAGGAAGAAAATGACATGGTGGGTGTAAGCTGTTTACAAGGAAAGCTGGATTTAAAAACAACAACCAGCCCTCCACCTCTGCCCCGTGATCTGGGGATATTAAAACAGGAGCAGCCAGGTGGTACCAGCTCCAGCACGGCGCTTGAGTCACCAAACGGGATCCAGGACTCACAGATGTACAGAAAACCCAAGTCATGCTGAATAAAAAAGTCACAAAGTATAAAAGTTTTGTTCAGCACAGACCTGGCATTGACCAGACCAAACTGGGTCTGCGGCGGGTCTGCGGCACCGAGATCGCGCACGAACACAGACTCCTTTAACTCTGTGCCCGTAACCGAGCGCAGATTCTCCCAGCAAACCCCAGTCTGGCGAGATCTTCGAGCCGATCAGCCATGGCGCGGTGCCAGCTCACCCTCAGAGCCGGCCAAGTTCCCTGGGCAGGGTGCCGAGTAATCCAGGAGACATCTCGGAACCACCGGGTCAGAAGCTGGGCCAAATCGGGCCAGCCGCTTCTTCAGGGATCCAGGTGCATAAAAGCCAATAAAAACCAGTAAAAAGCAAGGTACCAGTGCATAAAGAGGACGAGCAGCTCGCAGCGTGCACCCGCGGGAGCGCCATCATACTCTCTTCTACCAAATCAATCTACAAATCAGAGACCTGTCATCTACAGAAATGCTCAGATGACTCTACAGTTGTCGGGTGTATCAGAGATGGACAGGAAGCTGACTACAGAGAGCTGGTGGAGCGCTTTGTGACATGGTGTGGAAACAATCATCTGACCTCGAATGTGAACAAAACAAAGGAGATGATTTTAGACTTCAGAAGAAACAGGGTGAAGTCAAACACGGTTTCCATCATGGGAGAAGAAGTGGAGGTGGTTGAGGAATACAAATACCTTGGAGTTCACCTGGACAACAGACTGGACTGGAGAAAGAACAGTGAAGCCGTTTACAAGAAGGGACGAGGGACAAGGTTTACACAAAAATAAACAATCAATGATGAACAAGAGTCTGCTTCTAGACCTGCAGAAAGAGAAATACAAACAAAAAGGGGCACACAACAATACAACAGGAGCAAGCTATCACTGCATCAACCTGATGAGGAAATATAAAATCAACATTGTTTTACTGAACAATCACAGTGTATTTAGTGCCAACCACAGCCTTAAGACATGTGTTGAACGTGCCCAAGTCCATACTTATGAGAGCATCATGTGAGCACCTGTGTGTGTGTACACACGCTTGTTTATGTAAGGTTTCTCTATAGAAGCATCCAGTAGAGTGTGAGGGGCCACAGATCTGCCTCCCAAAAATGCGTAGGAAATGAAAGGAGCTCCAAGTCTCAGAGATCCAGGAGCTGCCTCAGAGCGCAAGGACCCCAGGGAGACTGCAACCAGAAAAGCCCCTGCCCCCTCTCGAGAGGCGCAGAGGATTGCACTGGGGAGTCACAACCAGCAACCGGCAGAGTCCCGGGAGATATCAGCGGCAAGCCCACAGACCTGCCCGCAGCCTCCCACCCCCAAGCCGGCCGAGCCCAGAACTCAGCGACGCGGGACCCAGGGGCGACCAGCCCAGGGACTGAGATCCCACCAGGCAGCCACCGGGATTGATCAGGCAGACGCCAAAAATCTTAAACCCCCTGACATGGGAGCCACAAACACTCAGGCAGACCAATGCACCGCACTTCACACCAAGTGTGGCAGAGGGAGAGTAGGTGAAGAGGTGTAGCAGCACAAGAAGTCCCAGGAGAGGGGAGGAGTCAAAAGCCCCACCTGACACATACAATCATACACAGACGCAGTCACACACTCCCTCCCTCATGCTCACAGATACACATACAACCTATCTGGTCATGGTACTGCTGCACAACAAAATACTAAATAGACATTTTTTTCTTTTGAAAAATTTTTTTTTTAAGGGATAGCAATTTCAAATCTCATCCTCAAACATGATATGTAGATAATGGCGAACGGTGATCAACCATAGCAAGCTACATGTAGCTCATCTCTCGTGTCTGGCCCATCATGGTGCACAAAATGACTAAATCTGGCTTTCTAAACTGTGGAAAGCAGTGAAACTGAGGATAAAACAAAACTTCTGTGACACTTGAAGTCATTTATCACTCGAACAGTGTTTCATCTTGAGCTTTGTAATTCCATACACAGCATGAAGTCTAACAATTTGAAGGAAATGCAATGAAAGACTGGTTGTGATTATATCGTTGTTTGAATGGTCATTTTTGCCACACTTTAACTGTCACGAACCCATAACCACATCCAGTATTACATGCTGCGATCACACATGTGGAGTAAAGGAACACATCACGGACAGAATTTCTCCCTGCTTTGATGCTTGTTTTCATCCTGCGTTAAAAACAAGTTTTTTTTTTTTTTTTTCAGATTCGGCATTGTGTTGTCCGACCTTTTTACTGTTAAGGAAAAGTAGCTGAAAGTAAAAACATCATTAAAGGCCATCAAAGAATGTACCAAAAATAACGGGAATGTACTTTAAATCCCACCTGGAATTCCTGAGTTAAGTTAAGATAAGACTTGTATTTTTCTGTGCTCTCTTTTTCTCTCTTTCTGCAGATCTAGAAGCAGATTTTTGTTCAACATTTATTGCTTATTTTTGTGAACCCCCTCCCCCACCTTTCCTTCTCTCACCCCCTTTCTCTTTCATTCATCCATCTACCATCCATCCATCCACCTATCCATCCATCCATCCACCTATCCATTCATCCATCCATCCACCCCATCCACCTATCCATTCATCCATCCATCCATCCATCTGCTCCCCAGCCCCTGTCTTGTATCTTGTCTCCTCTTGTGAAGTGTTAATTTAACTCAACTGCCCCTTGCCACCCTACCCACCCATTACCTTGATTACCTTGTGTGTTTTTACACCTTCTGTGCTTGTCGGGACAGATCCTTTTCTTATCTGCCCATTGTATCTTATTGCCTGCCAAATTTGCATCTTGTGCCTGCTGCTCTGTGTTTGGGTCCATTCCCTTCTCAACAACATGACAGAAGGATTTGACCACAAAGAACCCAGTGGTGAGCTGGTCGGAATTTCTTCTTTTTGTTTTTGTTTTCTTGGTGAGTAGCTGAAATATGAGAGGGCACAATCTGACTCATCCTATGCATTACCAGGTGGTCGAATACACCTCTCCGCACCTCTTCTGTTTACTCAGAGTGGACGCCCCGAGCACGTTACTTCACTCAGAGGTCCATGCTAAACTCCAGCCATCTGCAGAGGCCCCAGCAGTTCCATTTAATTTATTAAAATATAAATATTTTAACTGTCAGTTGGCATCCTGTGCCTGCTCCCCTGTGTTTGGGCCCGTTCCCACCTCCACAACATGACTAAAGCCTGATTTATGCTTCTCCGTCTGCGTCAGTGCGGAGACACGCAACGCCATTATCCGTCCGTGCGTAGGGCTCCGGCAGGCACGCAAGTACGTACGGAGTCGAGCCCACTTCTTTAAACATCCGTCGAACGAGACGGATTATGCACGCTTGTGATTGGTCAGGACACCGCTGTTGTTTACAGCGCCGCCATTGCAAAGAGAGCCGAGGATAACTAGCGGCAGACACGGAGAAGCTTGAAGAATACCTCGCGAAAAAACTCTAAAAATATGAACGTTTGATTCTCCCGTGACTGGAGAAGTGAAAAGATGCGCAGCAAGCGTTTTATTTGTGGACGGAAGTGGCAGGAAACGTGGGTTTAGAGGTGGGGAGCGCATGAAGAGGTGGGAGAATGAGAGACAAATATGTCCGAGTTAAAAGTCTCTTATATACACAAAAAACACAATATAAACACACTATCTTGGACCGATACATGACAGGATACCACAGAACAGCGCTACGCCTTCTGTTGTCCTGCCGGGCAATTGCTTTGCAACACTCTCCAGGAGACGGAGAAGTATGAGAGCAAAACGCTTCCGTCAATCCGTGCGTGTCTGTCCCTTGCGGAGCTGACGGAGAAGCATAAACCAGGCTTAAGGCGTCCTAGGCCAGCCAAGAAACACAGTCCATCCGGCGTGTCTTATAGGTCTTACTTGAGGCCCCTGCAGGGAGGCGTCCAGAAGGAATCCTATCTAGATAATGGAGCCACCTCAATTGGTTCATCTTGATGTGGAGAGGTAGTGGATCTACTCCGAGCCTCTCCTGGATCACCAAGCTTCTCACTCTCTCTAAGGGCGAGCCCAGACACCCTGTGGAGAAAACTCATTTTGGCTGTTTGCATCTGTGATATCATTCTTTTGGCCACTGCCCAAAACTCATTATAGATTAAGCACCAATCTGGAGTTTGACTGTGTAGCATGTGCCCATCAGGGTGGAAATCTCTGCTTGACTGTCCCATCTGGAGCTCACATGTCAGACTGATCAATAAAAACAGGGAATTCAGGCAGATTGTGAGTATCACAGAAACATATTTTGTAATTAAATGTTGGTGAGTCAGTAGTTTTCAAGATCAGGCCCAGTAAGGGCCCTAAGTTCTTTACTGAGTCATGGCTTTTTAACAGCTATAGAAATGATTGTAGAACCTGGTATGCTGCAGTGATTAGTTAAACAATTTCTTACCTTCATATTTTATTTTTCCACAGCACAGTGTGTCTGATTCTCCTGTTCTCCCAATACCTCAGCAAAGTTGACGTTCCATTGATTGCCTACAAAGATAAGAAGTGGAAGGTTTTCCAATATCCACTCTTCAAGCTCTTCTCTGTGAGTTGTACAGATTCTTCAGAATCCTGACATTTTTTTGGTTTTTATTGTTTGCAAAGACCTTACAACCTTGAGATTTTATCTTAAATAACAAAATGTATTTGACAGAACTTTTTGAATAAGTGTTTTCAAAACTAGTGAGTGAAAGGCAGCAGAATACAGCACAACTACATGCAACCTCTACTGTCACCAAACTACAGCTTCTCTTAAAGTTAAAGTTGGATTCTCTCCTGATTCAGTCCAGTATTTCTGATGATGCTTGACTGTTGAAGAATAAAAATGACCAAAGCTGTGATTCACTGTCATGGTCTGGGGAAAACGCCTAACCTAAGACATGCAGAATCAACAACTCACGGATTGATGGTAAAAAAATATATTTATTTTTAAATGGGAACTGAAGGTGCACTGGTAAATCCAGTGGGGATCGAGAAATGGGAGCGCAACGTCTGAGAAGGGGAGAGCAGATACAGGTGAGTCCAGGGAGGTAAGTCTTAACTTGGTGGGTGCAGAGAAAAGACTTACTGGGAGATGGGGAAGCGCCGGAATGAGGGGCCGGTTGAGAGCCGGGTATATCCAAGTGAGGGGTCCAGGAGAGGGAGCGTGAGGAGGGCAGGAGAGCGGGTTGGTTGGAGGAATGGAGAACAATTCAGAGCTGTATCCAGAAGTCCTATGAAGCATGGGTGAGTAATCCTGAGAAGTCGCTGAATCAGAGACGTTCCAAAAACCTGGAGATGGGTAATCACAAAATCCAAAGTTCACAATAGACCAAGAAACTCAAGAGCACAAAAACCAAGTATCACTAGGAGGCTAGAAACTACCAAGCTGTAGTAATCATCCGGCGTCGAGGTGTGTTCTCCATCAATCCTTAAGTAGCCGGGCTCGCTGATTGCCAACGAGGTGCAGCTGGGAACCTCCCTCTCCTGCAACACACAGCTCAGAGGTGGAATATTGAGAGGAGTACTCACCCCAGCTCATGACATTCACTGGAATACCGTACCATACCTCACAAACTTTATTCATAAAGCACATTTAAAAACGGCATGGCAGCTGACCAAAGTGCTGTACAGATAAAAAGTAAAACACAACATAAAAACAAAAACACAATCAACAAAGTACACAACAAAGCAGAAAATAACAGTCAATAAAAGAATACATAATAAAAATATATAATAAAATTCAAGGGTTTAAAAATGCCTGGTCGTAAAAGTGGGCCTTAAGCAGTGACTTGAAACGGGGGAGGGATGGTGCCAGCCTCACTGAGAGGAGCAGCATGGACAAAAGCACGCTGACCACGCGTTTTGTATTTCATGGTGGGAACATGAAGCAGCAGGTTTGGCACACAACAAGTCACAAGGTCAAACTGGTAATCCGTTGCTAAACCATTCAGGGCCTTAAAAACAAAGATCAGAATTTTAAACTTCATTCTGAAGTTTACGGGTAGCCAATGGAGCCGCACCAGTACAGGTGTGATATGGTCACATCTAGAGGTGTTCATCAGGAACCTGGCTGCCACATTCTGTATGACCTGAAGCCTCTTAAGAGCAGAGGATCTTACATCAAATAAGATGGAATTTGCATAGGAAAGGATAAAAGCGTGAACTACGGATTCCGAGTGTGCCTGTTTCAGAATTGGTTTTAACCTAATCAGTCGGCGCAGCTGGAAGAAACAAGATCTGACCACTGTATTAATCTGAGTACCCATGGAAAAGTGGATATCCAGTTTCACCCCCAGGTTGGTAATACATTGTTTGTGGTCGTATGGGAGAATGTCCAAATCAAAAAGTGAGTTTGTGATTTGTTAGAAGCCATGAGGAGTGCCTCAGGCTTGGAGTCATTCAGCTTAAGAAAATTGTCGGCAAGCGAGTCCCTCACTTCAGCCAAACATTGGTCCAGAAGAGAGAGAGCACCTGGTTTGTTCAAAGTCGGGTACATCTGGCAGTCATCCACATAGAGATGGTAGCTTAAGCCATATTTCCACAGGATACAACCCAGAGGGACGATGTAAATTGAAAACTGGAGAGGCTCGAGTATAGATCCCTGTGGTACTCCCCAGGGGAGTGGGAGGCATGGAAAAGAACAATTCCAAAACTGAACCTTGAAAACTCTGTTTGACAGATATGAGCTAAACCACTGAAGTGGGATACCCCTAAGCCCCACCCAAATCTCAAGTCTATCCAGCAGAATATCATGGTCATTTGGAATAGCTACTGGTTAAATACAGGGACTGAACTCCGATCTTTGGTGGCTGTTTTTATTAGCCATTCTAAGTTATGTTATTTCATTTATCTGAACAAATTTAAAAGATGTTTGACAGAGATCTTGCTACCATCAGGAAGTCCAAAACCTAACTGCGCATCAACAGTTAGAAATTGTAGTTTGTGGACTAGGTTGTATTACATTAGCCAAGACAGTAAAACAAAAAGAAAAATCAAAAGAGGTGATGGTATTAAACAACCCCTGACACCTTACAGAGAGGCAATTTGCCCAATCATTAGGTTTTTGCATGCTTCATTTCAAACTTTGAGTTAAATGTGAACAAATTTTAAATTGATTCAAGCTGGATTCTGTAACTTCTGCCAAAAGCACGAATCTGTGCTCCATATGAAGACTGCACTTTTGAGTGAAATGCTGAGAGAACTTCCGAATCACAGCTGGCAGTGAGCAGTTGGGTAAAGAGCTTTATTCAAACAGACTAAATGGAAAAATAAGTGTGTGTGTGTGTGTGTGTGTGTGTGTGTCCGCAGGGTTTTCTAGCCTTTTAACTAATTTGCACAATGAACTTCAAAAAGTGAACTTAATGCACTGATAAGTAGATTCAATGGGAATGTTTAATTAGTAAAGATGACTCTTTTGATTTTGCACTGTCACATTATTTTTGTTATTGTTGTATCTATGTAACTATCAAGATCTCTTTTTATCTGGAAACCATTTTTAGGCTTTGTTCGGGATGTGCGGTGGTTGGCTGGTCTGCTTCTTACTGACCATATTTGACGTCCTGCCTTCAAAAGCTGATCAGTATGGCTTCTCAGCTCGGACTGACATCAGCTTAGATGCTGTGCGAAACTCCCCGTGGTTCCATGTGCCATATCCAGGTAGGAGCCGAATCATGGCTTAAGGTTCAGTCAGCTATGGCATTCTTAAGTTGGTCAAACCAGCTAATGAATACAATTAAAATTTACACTTTGAAATGCAACTGCCTTTCTTTCCAAAACAGCTGATCTGACTGATTTATTTTTTATCTCCTGCACTTATGTAAATGTTCTATTTCTAAATGCCCATTTTACAAGGGTTTACACTTAACATGTTTAATATTATTTTGATTCACTAGTTTGAACAAACAAATCACATAAGCACTCACCTTTTTTGACATGAAATTGTAAAACTTGATCATCTTTGTAAAATTTACAAAAATAAATAAATCCTGAACATAAGTATGCATGTGTCTTAGATAATTGACAATAGATATTAGAGGACTGGTCTAATTTAAAGTTCAACTTGATCACAGTGTGGTGAAATGTGTGAAATGTTATGATTTAGTTTTACAAGCATCCATACTCACCAAGATAAGTTGTACCTACTTTTGATCTTAGTTTGTCTGAAGCCAGTCCATCCATCATCTGGTCCTCATTATCCTTGTTAGATTTTGAAATGAGCTAAGTAAAAAACAGACAACAACATGTTACTCTGCTGTTTCTGTTAGACAAAAGACAGAAGTCAGGCTTTGGAGGCTGTTGTTGGTTTTGCATCCAAGAAACAGAAGAGAAGATCTTTGTTAGTAGAAGCTAACCATGCAGAACTCTTTCAGGCTTATGTTACTTGTGGAGATAAAACATCATCATTGCAAAGCAAACAGAGTCCGTGGTAGAGTCGCATTCCTGTTATCCAATCCAAGACAAGATGTCCAAATATCAGGAAATAAGACCCCAAATCCTGCCATGTTCAGCTCTCCTGTGATGTGGCATTCCTGAAACAAGCCCATCTGAGTCGACAAATGAGACATGTTTGAGTTCCTCTATTTGCCAGTGCATAATGCCACAGAACATCTTTAGCACTGCAGAGGACTTAATTTATGTTTTCTTTTTGTTTTTTTGGAAAAGAAAAATCTCATTCATTTGGAAAAATTTAGCCTTTTTTTCCTGTAAAAAGTATTTTGTTCATTCGGAAAAACAGAGCTTTTTATTTTTTTGTGGCTGAATGCAAAACGCTTCTGAATTTGCAAAATGTCCTGAGAACAGTTGTCTCTGGCTTGCAGCATAGGCAAAATGTGTTCTATAGTTTCACCCCAGATTGGACAATCAATTTCATGTTCATATTTCACAAACTGAAATATACTTCTCTATGTGTCTTATCAAGAACCTTTAGCCCAGGGGTTAGGGAACCAAATCGGGTGCCCACAAGTCTTTTCTCCAAATAGCGCAAGTCAAAAAATAATAAAAATAATCTACTACCATGTTTTTTAAATGCCTTAATATAGATTTTAAAACTATACTCTTCTTTAAAACAACATTAAAATATGTTTTATACATTTAGTTTAGTTTAACTCTGATCTATTTATAGTTCAAACGTAAATATTGTATCAGTCTGGTAGCCCTTCTTGTCGCTCCATGTCCATGAAGTAGCTCTCAGCTTCACAAAAATTGGTGACTCCCACTTTAGCCAAATACTAAAATTCCAGTTTTTAAGCTAAACCTCATTATGACTGTTTACAAAGACTTTATATTTTCCAAGTAGCTGATCATGGGCTGCATGGCGACACAATTGGTAGCACTGCTGCTTTACCGGGGCCTTCTCCCCATTGCATGTGTGGGTTTTCTCTTAGTAATCTGGTTTCTTACCACAACAAACAAATGTGCATGCAGGGTTGAATGGAGGCTAACTTAATCCTATAGGTGCAAGTGACTGTGTGACTGGTTGTTTGTCTCTCTTTGTCCCTGTGCTGGACTTGCAACTTGTCCAGGGTGTCCAATGTCTCTCACCATGATGACTCAGTGCATACAACAGTCCAATGCCCAAGACATGGGCTTCCATATTGTAAGCATAAATCAGCTGAAGGACAACTAGCTTTGAATGTTTTCCAATGGGTGAAGTGGCATTTTAAGTCTCTAAAACTAGTTTCCAATGATCAAACTCCAACTACTCAGGCTCTGAAAGCTGTCCAATCCACAAAAAGTCTCTTCTACACGTGGTCGTTCCACATGAAGGTGGCCCCAGGTTTCTTGTTTAGGTTGTGCCTGGCTAGCTGTTGGGCACTTGCTTTTGCTGATAAGCCCCTCCCTAGACCTGGCTTCATGAGTTCCTGATATCACTGTCCAGCAAGGTATTTTGGTCCCTTGTTCTTAGTTTGGTGAGGATTTGCCCTGTGAACAGAGATGTTGCGTACCTAAAGGCAGAGCAGGCAACTGCTGCATCTTACATCCTGACGGAGCCCTCCCCTTTTTGCCCAGAGACTATCAGTCAGAGATATATATATATATATATATATATATATATATATATATATATATATATATATATGTATATATATATATATATATATATATATATATATATATATATATATATATATATATATATATGTATATAAAATATTTTTTCAAGCCTCACTGTTGCCCTTTGAGATCTCTTGATATTAAGGGCATTATAAATTAATTCATTATTATTATTATTATTAGTAGTAGTAGTAGTAGTAGTAGTAGTAGTATTTATTATTATAATTATTGTATGATATCATGAACAATTATAACATTTTATTTAAGCTGCTGAAATGTGAAATTTGCCTTGTTTGTTCACAGGCCAATGGGGTCTTCCAACAGTGAGTTTGTCTTCAGTGCTGGGAATGATGGCGGGTGTCTTGGCATCCACTATGGAATCCATTGGTGACTACTATGCTTGTGCTCGATTGTCCGGAGCCCCTCCACCACCCACCCATGCCATCAACCGAGGTATTGCCATTGAGGGCATTGGATGCATCCTTGCAGCACTATGGGGAACTGGAAATGGCACTACTTCCTACAGTCAGAACATTGCTGCGCTTGGAATCACTAAGGTACCCATTGTTACTTGTAGAGGACAAGCATTCTGTGAAATAGTTACAGTCCTAATAAAGTCCTTCAGTTTCATAACCAAACATTTAAAATCCGAAGGGTTTTGTTGCCATACATGTGAGAATCTGTGGTACAAAATCCATTATTAGAAAAATTAAAATTAAGAAATGAACACAATGAGATGATAATATAGGGATGCTGCAGTCTCTCCATATCCCTGATGGTGGTTCCAGCATACCACATGGTGATTGAAGAGGTGAGGATGTACTCGATGATTGCAGTGTAGAACTGACTCATCGACTGCTCTGGTAGGTTAAATTTCTTCAGCTGCCTCAGGACGTGTATCCTCTGCTGGGCCTTTTTTATGACAGAGGTGATGGTGGGCTCAGTTAGAATTCTCTGGGGGTGGGGTTATTTGCATGGGAGAGTTACCAGACTCATTCTCCGTGCAGAATTAAACAGAGCAAGAGCTTGGCAGGCCAGGCTAAGGATTGTTCATGTCACAGTGAGAACTCTAGAAAGGTGGCACACTGTACGGTGCAAGATGTATGTAAGGCAGACTGTTCGCCGTCCCTCTCCTGCAGGACATGCTGCGTCATGAGCGCACCTCCCGAAGCATACGTCACTAAGCAGACCGCTTACCAAAAATAAGTTGAAAAGCAAAACATTCTCACACCCGAAGCAGCTAAAAATGACAAAGGGTGACCAAGCGTTTGTTTCCGGCGCGTTGGGACTCCCAACAGGAGTCAGGAGGCGACGCGATGTGCCAGAGCATCGCTTTCCGACGCCCACGGTAAAACAGAGATTTTACCAAATTGTGACCTTCGCCCTCTTGCTATTTATCTTTCCACTCACCTCCATCCTAACCTTAACCCACTTGCGCATGCAAAACTTTGTTTCTAGTTGTATCATTCCTCTCAGACACGGTTAACGGGAAATTTAGAACGACAAACTGTGTTAAGGTTAGGATGGGGGTGTGGGTAAGGTTAAATCGCTAGAGGTTAGAGGTTAAATGTCAGTGAAATCTCTGTTTTAAAGCGATGCTCTGGCACAGCACGTCGCCTCCTGACACGTTGATGCTCCTGGACCATCATGATGGGAGTGTCAAACAGGGTTATGGGGCAGAGTGGAGCTGTGTGTTTCCTAAAACCCACAGCAACCTCTGTTGTCTTCTGGGCATTTAGCACCAGGTTGCAGGGGCGTCGGAAACAAAGCTTGGTCACCCTTCATCAGTTTTAGCCGCTTTGGTTATGAGAATGTGTTGTAAAAAAATGAAAACAGTTCTTTTTAGTGTCAGTTTATGATCCAACTGATCTTCCTCAAAGAGGAAGCTTCCTT